GTGAGAGAGAGAGAGAGAGAACTTACTAGGGGAGTAGATCAAGCTTTAATATTTTCAACCTGTTCTTTCCCTTCCTTCCTTTCCAGTTTCGATAGTCAATGAATCCAGCCAAAGGTCACAAAAATGACTCTTTGATTGATGGTTTCAGTTTGGGTCTTGGTTTTTCTATTATGATTCATATAATAATAACTGCTTCTTCAATATCTTTGTGGGAATTTTCAGTTTGCATTATGCGAATGTCTCGGTTGGCACGCCAAGTTTGTCATATCTGGTGGCACTTGACACTGGCAGCGACCTGTTTTGGTTACCATGTGATTGTACCAGTTGTGTACGTGGCTTGGTGCGGGGATCCGGACAAGTACGTTAATCTGTTTGACTTCTGTAGTTTCTTCAGATGAAAAATGCATGTTTGAAAGAAAATACGAGCTTTAACCTTTCTCATGATCTTTTATTATCGGCTTAACTTATGATTTGAAGTGTAGGAGCTTGTTACTCGAGCCAGATTTTTTTTCAGCTTTTGCTATCTCAGAAAATATGTTTAAATTGTTTGAGTGATTTTGCATTTGTTTTCTCAATGTTTGAGAAATCTTTTGAAGAAAATTATATGACATGACCAATACAAAGCGCATTTTGTAATGGTTATTACTGATGACTTTTCAGTTCTCTGATTAGTTTATATTCTGCAAGAACAGGGGAAGGACAGGTCACTGAAAATTTTCATGTGTCGACTATCAAATGGATTTTTGACGAAGTATAGACTTCATTTTCAATATATCTGCTTCTTGTCTTGATCAGATTTCAAAGTTTACCAGACAATGTGTGCAGTTGTGAAGTTCTAAATTAATTGATAAGCCTTAACTCTTAAGCAATGTATGGCAGTGCTGTTGACATTGTTCATTAGGTCTTTTTCTTCTTTTGAACTAATATGCAAAACTTGGATAGCAACTAGCAAGTTTGTAGATGACAAGATATTTTAGGATATTCAATTGTTTGTTGAATTGTAACTGCTATATTGACCAGTAGCTCTTGTAATCTTTTCTTAAAACAGAAGATAGACTTCAATATTTACAGCCCTAATACATCATCAACGAGCATGACAGTTCCCTGCAACAGCACCATGTGTGGACAACAAAGAAGACAGTGCTCTACGACAAGGAAAGCTTGTGCATATCAAGTTGTATATCTTTCCAGTAATACTTCGTCTACTGGGATCTTGGTAGAGGATACGTTGCACTTAATCACAGATGATAGCCCATTAAAAGATGTTGATGCACAGATTACACTTGGGTATGTATTATATCCCGATATTGTGTTTGTTAAAAGCTTCTAGCGTAATGAAAACCAGCCTGACTGCCTGTGACTAACATCATCACTTAGTGAAGGTATTGACGCATAGTCAAGATAATTTTCTTTCAAGGGGGGTCAGGGTAAGAGAAGGAGCAGTGAATGATGGCAAGAGATCAGTTTTGTTTTAAAACTTTGATCATGCTAACTTGAAATTTCTTGAATTTATTATTTTACCCATCATTTGATTTGAGAATGATCGGTTCTCTTATCGTTTGATTTGAGTTCGGTTATTATTTTTTTTACGTTGACGAGCTATACAACTTTAATCTATTGTTCTTCAGGCCTATGTTTAGGTAGAGAATTATTATCTCCACTGGCCCTTATGACTTATTGTGTTCCTTGTATTTCAGCTGTGGAATAATTCAAACTGGCACATTTTTGGAAGGTGCAGCTCCCAATGGTCTGTTTGGGCTTGGTATGGATGCTATATCTGTTCCTAGTGTTTTAGCAAGTCGAGGACTTGCTGCAAATTCTTTCTCTATGTGTTTTGGGCCTGATGGACTGGGGAGGATCGTTTTTGGAGATAAAGGCTCCTCAGACCAAGGAGAAACACCATTCAATATTGACAAGTTACAGTAAGTTATTGCTTTAGTACCGACCAAGACTAGGGGCGGAACCACCTTATACCCCCACCCTCAAAAAAAAAATTCTAAAATTAATTATATATATTTTAAGTATTTTTTCAATATATTAAATTATACCCACCCTATTTTTTAATCAAGACCAAAAAAAGGTTTGATATATCCATGAGTTTACTTATAATTTTAATATTTATTTTGGTAATTTTTACCGATATGATAAAAAATATATTTTATTGTGTAATCGAATGAATAATAAATAATTAAGTGAAAATATGATTGTAGATATAAATAATGATAAAGTTAATGCAAGTCTTTCAACATATAAAAATTCATCCAAATCAATTCTAAATAGTTATGACTAGCCTTTATTTGGTAAAAAGATATACTTACCCTTTTTTTTTTTGTCATTTGTATCTACTATGCTTTGCAATTTTAATCTTTTAAGTTTAATGAACTTTTAAGAATTAAATTGGATATAATTAATTATAAATGCATTATTCTATTTTTATCAATTACGAGAAAAAAATTAAACTTGTTAAAATATTTGATGTCCATCCTGAAACAATTTTCTGGCTCTGCCCCTACGACCAATTATAGGGGTTATTGCTTGTTGTTTGCATAACTCCGTTCACCAAGTGCAGAATATCAACTCTTAATGGCTTTTGCAAAATGAAGTGCTATTTGTTCTCATATATTTTTCTGAATCCCATTACCAGTCCAACGTACAGTATCAGCGTGACACAAATAACCGTGCTGAAAAATGTCACTGATCTCAATTTCAATGCAATCTTTGACTCTGGCACCTCGTTTACTTACATGAACGACCCAGTTTATACGGTTATATCAGAGAAAGTAAGTCATCGTGACTGTAAATATTGGTATTTTATCTCCAGTTTAACCATGTGCTTCCTATTAATAAGAAGGATGTTTCTGGCTATTATGCAGTTCAATTCTGCAACCAAAGACAAACGCCATCCACCTGATTCCAGTCTTCCTTTTGAATATTGCTATGACTTAAGGTCTATCTGATATGGAAAATATTTTGTTTGTGTGACTTTTTGATTGAACCCTCAAGGACTGACTCATCCTCTGAATGCAGTGCAAATCAAACTACGATTTCGGTTCCTGATGTCAATCTAACTATGGAAGGTGGAACCCAATTCTACATTACCGATCCAATAATAGTAACTAGTGTTCAGGTAAGGTTTCATTTGTTGCGTTTTAATATCGTTCTCCTTTTCTCTTGGGATGTTTACTAATGTGATAATACTCTCCCAGGGCGGTGGATATGTATATTGTTTGGGTGTTGTCAAAAGTGAGGACATAAATATCATTGGACGTGAGTATATTGTTACATATTACTTTCTTAATGGAATTTACTGTTTACATTAACGAGGACTTCATTTCCATATGATATTTGCTTAAAGCAACAAACTTCATGGTTCCAGCCACACTCTTATCAACAGATTATTGCCTGTCAAATATACTCTATTGCCTATGGTAGTTATGCATTCTTCTCGACAGTCATGTTAACCCTATCTCACCCTCCTCCCCCCCCCCCCCTCCCCCTTCCAAAACCCACCGGGGGAAAATGGGGGGGGGGGGGTGTTAAATGGGTACTCCCAATATTATCATAACTTGAAAGAGGAGCATAAGATGTGATTCTTGAGATACAGCAGAGGAGCGTAACTTGAAAGAGGATCATTGCTTTGTTTTGATTTTTAAGTCATTTGCTGCATTTGTTTATATTTGAAGTATCATTGGTAGCGTAGTATCTATGGATTGTGTGTGTTTGTTAAGGAAAATGTTATGTCCACCAAATCTTTTATCAAATTTTATATCCCAAATGATGTGATAAATTGAGAGTTATAAGATAATTAGTGAAAACTTATGGGACCTACGGGTCCTATAGTTCATATTATAGGATAGTTAGTAAAAACTTATGGAACCTACTGGTCCTATAGTTCATATTAATTTGGGATAAAAAAATTTGGTGGGTGTAGCATAACCTGTACATTAAACGCCAATAAACTCCTTCTTGCCAATATCTGTTTGTTTTGTTTTTATCCAGAGAACTTTATGACCGGTTACCGTATAGTTTTTGATCGTGAGAAGATGGTTTTGGGTTGGAAGGCTTCTGACTGTGAGTATTGTTTCTTCATTATTAATTTGATTTTTGAATCTCTCTCTCTCTCTCTCTCTCTCTCTCTCTCTCTCACACACACACACACACAAGTGAGTTGTGATTTGTTGTATCCAGGTTATGACGCCAGAACTTCCAATACTCTACCGGTAAGCCCATGAAGCTCCCCTGCAGGTCTTCCCAATGAGGCTTTTTTTTTTTAATCATTATATATGTTTTTATTAATATAAGGTGTATTACACACAATATTGAGACATTGCGTGCTTCCTGTTTATTAGTGTACTTTCAGCATTGATTCCAACCTGAGTTGTAAATATTCAACTGTTTCTCAGCATATCTCTCTGTATAATAAATAGGAGAACGAATGAAGAATTTGTTTTCTGAATCTCAATCCTTATACACAGGCGGGATTTCCTCTTGAGGGGGTCAAATAGTGGTATAACAATGTATTTTTATTCAATATTTTTTTTTAATTAGATCTTTAATGTTATAATATTTACATGTATAGAATACATAAAAATCTTTCTCACACGGTATAATAAAATTATTATTTTCAATAAAATGAATAAATTAATCAAAATTAGTTGAATTATTAGATTTAAAAGTCAAATCAATTGCATCATTAATAATTTAAAATTTACAAATTTATGCAATACCAAAATTTAACGATTTATACAAAACGACACAATTTTAATAGTTAATGGTTCAACATGGTGCTAAGGTGAATTCATAAAAATACTACAAAAGATAAAATACAAAATAATTGTATTAGAGAAATAGTAGAAGTAACTCTAATTGAAGATAAATTAAAAAAAAAATAGATTAAGATGGTTTAGCCATGTTCAATAGAAACCGATAGAGGAATCAGTTCAAAAAAGTGATAAAATTTCTCTTAATGGTGCTATAAATAAGGGTAGACTTAAATTAATATTAAATGAAATAATAAAAATATTTAACTTAAATGAATATATAGCACTTGATCGAAATAAATAACAAAGACGGACTCATATAACTGACCACAAATAATTGCAACATAAGACTTGGTTTGGTTTAATTCAACATGGTCTAATCAATAGTCGATGGGAAAAAATAAAANCAAATAATTGCAACATAAGACTTGGTTTGGTTTAATTCAACATGGTCTAATCAATAGTCGATGGGAAAAAATAAAATCAAGATAATAATTTAATGTACAAATTATAAATTTTAAGAATTTGAGTGATCTATAAAATATGATCAAAACATAAATTTAAGGGTATAATGTATAATTTCAAAAACTTGAGGCAGGCCACGGCGCAACATTTCTTCTAATTTACCATTAAAAAAAATCCACCAAAAAACACGACACATTGAAAGAGATGGTACATTGTATGCCTTTGGGATTTGCAGCTATACCTGCTTGTAAGACAGCCTTAACTGCATGACCCAGCAAATTGGCGCCTTTTTCCGCACTCCAATAAGAAACGTCGAAACAAAATTTTCCTCCATTCTTCCAATTTTAGAGAACTCAGAGCCTTTGTAACTGAACAAACCGAAATTGAGAACGCATGTGTCTCACTTTCTTGCCTTCGTATTAAGTTGTGATCTGTCCTTTTTCCGTGACACCTTATTGTTACAGGGCAAAGGAACCTGCTTGGACTTCATCTTAATTGACCTAACCAAATGAGAGAGCTCGTGCTTCTCTTTTTCTGAGGGCAACCCGTTAGACCGCAACTGCTCAGCTCTGTTAGTCTCCAGGGTATCAGATAACTGAGCTTGCCTAGTTGACACTGTATGATCTTCTTCCCCTATACTTTCCTGGTTACCTTTCTGTTGCTTCTGTGCTATCTGCCGAGCATAAGCTGCACTCCTGTTACATCCAAATTCATTTTGTAAGCGTATGAAGAAAGTAGATCGTAGAGCAAGCAGTGAATTCAAGACAAGTCTGATTAAATTTTCGGAAAATGAAATTTTTAATGATGATCAGGAGATCTAAACAAGAAGATGCATATTCAAGTAGTCCAGTAATTGGCAAAAAAACGAGGTACAATCGTTAGGTTAGTGCTAACAAAATACCTTTTGAACTGAGGATCTGTGGGATCCAAGGCAAAGAGAGGTGAAGTGAAGAAGCGGGAAAACCGTGCATCATCATAGTTAATAGTTGGTATTTTGCCCTCATCTGGAAGTCCTTTCCCTTTCTTCCCCTTGGCCTTTTTAGGTTTCAAATTGTAGCCCTTTAAGCTCGTATCTGCACCCTTTTCATCAGCAAGTAATAACTCAAGCTCTGCTCTACTTGCTTCAGCTTCTTCGGCTGTTTCTTGATTCTGCTTTCCTTTGCGAGCACTTTTAGCTCGAGCCTCCTTAGTTCCTTTAACCGGAGATTCGTCAACAAAGAAGTCATCAGGTTTTTCCTTTGGTTCTTGATCAGAATCACTACTATCATCCTCTGATGAGCTCTTGGATCTATTTTTCTTGGCCTTCTTTTTCTCACTTCTCTTCCTAAGATACACNGAGCCTCCTTAGTTCCTTTAACCGGAGATTCGTCAACAAAGAAGTCATCAGGTTTTTCCTTTGGTTCTTGATCAGAATCACTACTATCATCCTCTGATGAGCTCTTGGATCTATTTTTCTTGGCCTTCTTTTTCTCACTTCTCTTCCTAAGATACACCTCCCAGACAGTTTCTGATTTCTTATCCTTCTTCTCTAAAATTTGCTTGCTTATATCCTCTAAACCAGTATTGAAAGTGACCTCCATATCCTGGCCACCATCCTCCTCATCTCCATCTGAACCATCCCCGGACTGGATTAAAGCACGGTACATGTCTTGTTTTTTATGTTTTCTGGTAGATCTATGTGCCATGGCATCATCACTCTCATCTTCATCAGTTTCACTGTGATCAGAAGCCAGAAACTCCTCCAACTCCAATTCCTTAAGCTGTATGGAAAAGATGATTCGTGCAAGTATAGATGTGAAAAAATAGCAATCGAGTAAGAATAACACAAAGTAATTTATTGAACTAGTTCTTTTATTAGGTTTTTTATAGTATTCACCATTGCTATAGTCGCTTGTTATCACTGTAATTGATAGCATGTTTATATTCAGTATACTGCAGCAAGTTGTTTGATAACACAAAACAAGAACTAAGTTCAGGTGCCCATTTACCATACACATATTTCATAGACATGTTGTACATAAACAACAAACTTGTCAGACACCAGCAAAAAAAAAAAAACCTAGCCAAACAAATCAAGGACCAAGCAAGAGAAATGAAAAGGAAATATAAGCCAAAAAAAACACCTGGTCAGCATTAAATTTTCTCTTCAACGTCTTTGCACGCTGTGGTTCATCTTCATCCCATGTAAGATTAATTTTACTATGCTGTAGTGCTCGAGTATGAAAATCTAATCCTTGGTAGTTCACTGGTGCCTGAGCCAAAAACCAAAAAAAACAACTGACAATGAAAATACTAAATTGACAGGTAACTGTATCACATTGACCCAACTATAGGTTACACGTGCAAAAATATAACATATCTCACATTGGCCCAAATACAAGTTAACACTAGTGAAAGAAAAACAAGTGCTAAGAAAATCACAAGCAGCAAAACTCCCGACTTCTAACAGCACAGAGACGAATCCTTAGACAGATAAAAAACAATTGGACTCCCCAATGCAACAAATTCAATAAGAGTGGTCAGGGAGCCAAGAAGAATGTAAATGAGTTATACAAAAAACTAAAGATTGAAGCAAAAGGGGCCATGATTTCTTTAAAGATTGATGCAAAAGGGTTCACGAGTTCTTTTCTTCTCCCCTGGGAGACAAAGATGAAAAGGGGGACCTGGAACTGAAAATGTGATTAGATGTCTTCATTCAGTAGAGCTTAAAATATGAACATAAGTAAGACTCTAGTCAAAAGAAGAATTGGCAACTCAACCCAACTAAGCTTCTCCGAATTATTGGGATTCAACTACATGGATCTTGTTCGAGAATGCTATTCAATCTAAAACCATGTTCTTTATTGAATCACAAGCTTTCATATCCTTCATTACTATTCCAGTCTACGTTAATTTTGGTATTCCTCTACCTCTAGTGATGCCATCAAATGCTATAACATCATGATACCTCATGGATGCAATTGGATATCACCTTTGGCAAATGCATTCATTTCTGATTTACCCTAGTTTGTTTTACCACACAAATTTCTTAACATCTGTATTTTAATCATGCTTAATATATTCCTTAGCCGCCCAGGTAAAAAAACGTAGTCTCATGGTTGTTTTGGATAACTTTTCTTTTGGCTTGAGATGGCTATGTCGATCAGGGTACACCAGACACACTGCTCATTTACTCTATATTGAGCTATGAGAAGTCATATGCAATCTCACCCTCCTTGTGAATATCAAACCAAAATACTGAAACTTTTCACTGTGGTGCCTCTTGAATTTTTTTCTGTACTACCACCCTATTAGATTTTTTGCTTTTATTGAAGTTACATTTTGAATATTCAACATTTATTACAGCAGTTTTAAAATTGTACAATTCTAGAGCTCCTATCCAGACTTCTATTGAAGGTATCAAAACATCTAATAATTGGCATAGTTATGGAAAAATAGACTTCTGATGGACTAATAATTACCCACTATCATAAAATGAATGATAAGGACAGTTGATCAGCAAAAAATTCATATATACGTATTTTGATATATACATATTTTGAAGGAAAAAAAAAGATGCTATCTGCTAGCATATGATCATGTCAAGGATGTAAATGTAGGTTCGCCAAATGAATCTCTTCTAAGGATCCCAAATATGATAATAAAAGTTTATTATGCATATTCCCAATGATAACTAGCTTGTATCAATCTAATTCCTTCAACAACAACAATTAGCAGTTACTGAGACAGGCTGGGCAGGCAAGAAAACCAAACCAAAAGGAACTGCCAGTGATACCCTTGAATTTTTCTGTTTTGAAAATATAAATGTAAAGAGCATCTTGCAGCTGCAATGGCCAGACAACATCAAATAAAAAGAGAAATAATATTTATTATAACTAGATCATGCACACATGCCTTGCACGTGGACTTTTTGAGTTATGGTTTTATTTTTAAAATAATTAAATCAATATAATAGCAAATACCTACATATAAATATAATCTTTTGTGTGATCAAAAAAAAAAAATCTTTTTGAATATTCCTATTATATAATTTGTGTAATTTGTAATAGACATAACACTACATATTTCCATAACGAATATTAATTTTTATTGTTTTATTTTCTCTTAAGTTTTGATGAATTACTTTCTTATAAACCTCTACCCTTAAATTTTAGAACTTTTCACATGAAATTAAGGTAGTGTTTGGTAATCATGTGTTTGTGGTTTTTTTTGTTTTTTTTTTTCATTTTTTGCTTAAAAAACAAACAATAGCGCGTTTGGGATGTGTTTTTGTTTTTTTTTTTAGCCAATCTGTTTTATAAACAGCCCCAAATTTTAAAAACATCAAAATATGTGTTTTTAAAAACATGAAAAAACGAAAACACGCACGTCTCTTGGAACCATTTAATGAGGTCTAGCTTTCGAACTCCATTAGCAGCAAAAAAAAGTGTTTTTTTCTTTCCCACTATAAAAGCATTGTTTACCCTTTTTGCCTCTTCTCTCTCTCGTTCATCTCTGTCACTCGTTCAGCTCTCTCACAAAGCCAGCAGCAAACGAGCAACGAAGGAGTATTTGTTCTAGTAATACAATTTTGTCTGGTAACACAATTTTGTTCAAGTAAACGAGCAACAAACGAGCCATGAACATGGTAATGTTCTGGTAATACAATTTTGTCTTAAACATGGCTTTTTGAAAGATTAAAGCCATGAACTTAAAGGTGTATTTGTTGATTTTTTGATTCGTGTAATACTTACTTTCATCAATAAAATTTTTTCTCTCTTTAAAAAAAAAAAAAGTGAAGGGGTTTGGTGGTGGTGAATTTTTGGTATAATATCAAACAGATTTTTTATTTTTATTTTCATAATTTTTTAAATATAAATGACTACCAAATATGTTTTATATTTTTAATTTTTATCACAAAAAAAAAAAAACTTAGTTCTGTTTTTTTTTATAAAAAAAAACATAAAAAATGAAAACGTTACCAACGCACCCTAACTATTTAGATTAATTTTATTTACAACATCATAGTAATGATATAAATATATTTTATAGTATGTGGATATACATAACTAAAAAGTATCGTAAATACTTATTAAATTATAAAAAATACGGAAGCAAACTATTTTAAGTTATGTTGGTCATTTAATTATAAACAATTGGTTGAACAAATTTTAAAAGTTAAGATAAGTAATTTAATGTGAAACTGAACCTATTCGTAACATTGCTAATCGATACAAATAAAATGGTTTTTAGTATTACCAATTAACATAATTAAAGAAGATTTATTAAAGCTAAAACATAAAAAGAGAAGAAAATGAAAAATAAGGGTTTGATAATATTATCCAAATTATATTAAAATAAATCTTATATTAAATAAGGCTCTAGTGCATTTATGCAATTTCATTTGAAAATTCAGAAACTCGTCATCAGCTACTGAAATAGATAGACATAAATAAAAGTAAATTTAATTATTTTAAAAATTAATTTTTATCTTTTAAAAGAAATAATATGAAAGGTTTGGATATGTGTAATATTAATGAAATTTAATTAATATGAATTCAATATTAATAATGTTAGTATTGTGAGAGTGATGTTATCCAATTAAAAGTTTAACATCAATCAAGTCTTATTAATATGAGGCATGACTCAAGGTCGCGGTATCGGCCATCAACTTGAAAAGTTCTGAGACACATCGGTCGCAGCATCGTGGCGTGGTATCGGGCGATACGATTTAGAAGAAAATGTTGACCATGATAAAAAAATTCAAGACATATCATGATGTTGTAGAACCATATCGGTCAATTCGGGGACGATATTTCGTCAACTCGGGATTGACTCGGATATAACTCGGCCGAGTTGTGCGAGACTCGGCCGAATTGTGCAAGACTTGGCTGAATTGTGCAAGACTCGACCGAGTTGTCTGAGACTCAGGGTTTATACGTATCGCGTAACGGTATCGTCTCCAAAAGTGCCGAGACGGATACGACTCGACTGATTCGTATCGGTATCAGCCGATACTTTGAACCATGATATGAGGTCTAAATTAAATAAGGTTAGTATTGAATTTATATATTGTTTTAGGGTTAAAGTAGTCAATCAAAAGTTTTTCTTGATAGTGTACTTTTATTAATAATATAGATTAAAATACACATGAAGCAAAAAAAAATTATAGAAAAAGATAAATCCAACCAAAACATAGTCATAACTAAAAACAGGCTGCCTATTTTGTGGCCATGTAAGTAGCACACTTTCAGAATGATGGCAAGCATAAGGCACCTGCATTTTTCTTGGAAGGCAAATCTCAGGAAAGATCTTTAAGGGATCCTAGAGTCCTGCCTTTAGGGCTCACAATTTTTTACACTTAAGACACCACTTCAACTTTTAATGTGTAACTTAGAGGGCTTGACTTTTTCATCGGAGCATTCTTCAGGAATGATAATCATTAGTTGTTGCTCAAAACTCTTTTGGATAAGTCCAATCAAGGAACATTATACTGAGTTTCTCTTAGTGTTACATAGTAACAGGAACACTCTGGTTACAGTCATGATGATGAAAATGCAGTGGAACTTACCTCTGTTACAACATCACGGGGAGGATGCTTAAACTCCATAGAATCGGGAATAAACCTCAAGTCCAGCTTGTTTGATGATCTTTCAAACTCAAGGCCGTCACATCTTTTATATAGGTAATCTGCTGTAGCACTAGAATCACATTCCACTACAGCATAATAGTACCTGGAAGAGGCAAAGTGAGATTATAACAACGTGAGCACTAAACTTCGGAATACATAAGCCTATGCCAAAGAAAGATAAGTATAAAATACAAAGGGTTGGCTCGGCTACATGTACCCACTTCAAGGGGGAGAGACCATATGATCAAAACTTGCCAACTCCTCCGGGATCTCCCCCGGGATTTATCCCAATAGCTAAAATGGTGGATCTGGGATAGAGGATTGCATGTACTGGGGAGGACAGACGGTACTCTAAGAGGCTCAGATACGTCCTATTAATAAAAAATTCTGTGGAATAAAAGTAAAAAATGAAGAAAAATGAATGGCACATCCATGGACAGTGCAATCTGGGCATTCTTTATTGCGATGAAGTGCAGTGTCTTCTTTTGATAAGTAACATTAAAGGGCAGGCAGAAAACCAAAACTATAGATGAAAATAGCTCAACTCTTTGAAATGTGACTGCACTTGTGCTAATATGCAGTACCCTAACTTTTTTCCAAAAACTTCTTCGTTAAATTTCTAAATATTGGGGGAAAATGATTGTGGGAAAGAAAGGAAAATATTTCATAAATTTTCCACATACTTCATTCATTTTCATTGCTCATGAGCTAGATAAGAATTCAGAGATTTTCCTTACTCTTCCAATATGTCAGTGGGACAACAGCCAAACACAAGAACAAAATAGAGGAAAGATAAAATAAAGTTTTTTCAGCCTTCTAGACAGTGAAGCAGTTTCCAAAACAACGAATGGCTATAGACTAAAATATAAACTACCCTGAACATATAAAGCATGCCAGAGCTATTTCAGCAGCCAAGGGGATTCCAAATATCGTCATATCCATCCATGTGGTAGGTTGGTAGCTAAGTAAAAACAGATGCTTTAAAGTTTAAACATCAAGAAATGCAGTAGCATTATCTGCATGTACCACCTTAGCCTGCTTAATTCATAAGCACGCAATTTCTCAGTGTCAATCTCATCGTTGACGTCATCATTATCATTTTTCTCTTTCTCATCTTCAAATAAGCCAACAGGACCATGCACTGCCTCCTCTTCCATACGCTTGAGTCCAAACTCAGATGGATAGACAGACACAGACAATATTTGGCCTCCTTTTGGAAGAAATGAGCTTAGCATTACATACAAGTCAACTGCCTGCCGAAAACAGCCATATTTCAGCTGAGGAAGCAAGAGTATAAAGGAAGACTTTACCATTTATGGCAAGTTCTGTGAACACGATTAAAATCAAGAAGCATAATCCCCGAAAAAAGCAAAGATATCCAAATGAGCATGTGCGAATCATTATTACAACTGTAGCCAGAGAAATAATAACACACGAAAATAAAAATCGAGTAAAAAAGGTGGTTATTGGGCAACATAGGAAAAAAAGTTGCAGACAGAAGGCACAATTACAAAATGTGAACAAACAAGGCATGGAATGATAGCTGATCATTTTTAGATAACAAAAGGAAGCAAACGTCTACACACTATCCATATACTTCAACCTGTGAAAAAATGAAATGTGTCTAGTAACAAAGGAGTGCCGAATATTTTTGTGCTTGTTTTAGCAAGTAGCTGAATTGACGAAGAATTTGTATTGCAAGATAGATACTTCAAGGGACATCCTAGAATTCCAAATGTGGTGCTTCTGTATTATATATGCAACAAGCAATGTCATGATTAGCAATGCACAGGGAAACTGGCAAGCAAGACAAAAAAAAGGAACATTTCGGCACCATCTCAGAGATCTAATTTGTGAAACCTCATCCATATGAGAAAAAAATCTTGTATATTTGACCAAACACTATCAACTTCAAGAACCAAATTTATGTGTTTCTTCAAGAAGCAAATTTAAATTCATTAGTGTCTCTCCATAACTGAAAAAAAAACTAAGTGCCATCAGAACAATAACAGACCATATAAAAAAGGCATACATGTCACAAGTATATGACAGAAAGATATTCCATATAGTATACCAGATACCTTAACAATAAGTTGTTTATTAAGAATCCGCCTAGTGCATCTTAGTAATCTTCCCCATTTATGTAAATTAAACTTTGTTCCCGTAGGAGCAAAACTATTGGCGTTGCCACACTGTCACTAACCCAAAAGCAAAAAGTGAAACCAGTTTTCTTTCCAAAAAAAGGAACTGACTGTGAAGGTAAACCAAACCAAACTATAACTTATGTCCCAATCATTTGGAGTCGTCCTGCACTATATGCTCATTTAAAAGTCATTGTGAAGGTGCGAACTACAATCCGTAATTTTTTTCCAAAAGCAGCGCTTGTTTCAAAAGAACTAAAATTCAACACTTAAATATCCCAAGTATACCTGAAACTGGTTCACAATCTTCAACTATAAACCTTGGGTACTCCAACAAACAAATATAAATTCAATTACAAAGGAGTTCAATAACAAACCGCCACTTGACCCCAATCCAAATTGACGACAGCAAGCCTGTGGGTTTCTTTGTCAGTTTCCGGTACATTTTCCTCCTGTTCCACGGACAGAATTTCAACTTGTTCATCTTACAGCGTTGAATTTGTGGCAAAATAAATTAATCTTTAACAGCTTACCTGCAAAAAATTATCCTCTCCTTCCGAATACACCTCATCTTCCTCCGAATCTGTAGTACTA